TGGATCATTCCAGCTCATCATGGAAGGACCAAGACTGGCAAATCCCAGTATTTCCTGAGCCATATTGCTCCTCAGGAATCCTGCTATAAATAAAGACAATGAACGCCCCTCCCTTGTCCATCCCCTTGACTCAGCCTTGTCAGACTGATGCTGTCCTGCTGGGGGTTTCTGTGCACTGACATTGACTCAGGGGGTCTAATGAGCTCCTCTGCATTGTCCTCGTGCTCAGCAATTAATGTGTCCCTGCAATTTGTCTCTCCTCAGTTGAGTGTTTGGGATTTTCTTGGTGAATTTGGGGTTTTTTGGAAGGGAATTTTTCAGGATGTGTCTCTCCTGCTTTCAAGAGAGTAGAAGTAGAATCCCATCCAACTACAAGTGGAAGAAAAAGAGAACTGAGAGAACATCTGTGGATCTGCAGGATTGCAACACACAAGATGCTTTTCTGAGAAAGCCCATGGTAGTTTCTACAAAGAGCTGATAAGGACTGAAAGTAAAAGGAAAGAAGAGTAAAGTTACACCAGGGTGTTTGGTTTTTGTGTGGAAAAGCTCCAGTTGCAGGGTTTCTTTCTGGCCAAGTCACTTTTCCAGTGCTGTGTGTCGGGATAGCTGAGGATGAGCGGAGTTCAGCCCCAGGAGCTCCTCCTGCTCAGCTGCTGAGCCCAGGCTGCAGAAGGATTATCTGAAGCATTTACTTCAGACTGAATTGGGAAATGTTTGGAGTCATATTTATCACAGTAATATGGAAAGAAACACCATGTCTAACCAGATTCATGTGTTTACATTCAAAACTGCCAGTATAAGGCTGCATTTACAATATTTAGTATTTTGTACAAAATAAATATGTGCAAAGAGCTATGGTGGTCTTTGGCCTTGCTTCTGCTTTAAAATTCTGACTTTGAAGCTGGTGTTACACCATACCAGTCAGTCCCTATTTACCCCCAGTTTCTGGGTTCTCCACTGTGATCTTCTGTCTGGTTTTGAGACAACAATATTGGTGCTTTTGATTATCATCTATGATAGTACCATGTACATCTATTACTATAGATAAATATATATGTGATCATATATGTCACAGAATCAGAGAATGGTTTGGGCTGCAAGAAACCCTAAAGAACCCTTTGGGGGATGGGGCATCCACACCTTCAGAGAGCTGAACATGAGCCATCAGTGGCCAGGTGGCCAAGAAGGCCAATGGCACCTGGCCTGTATCAGCAGTGATGTGGCCAGCAGGACCAGGACAGTGATTGTCCCCCTGTACTGAGCACTGGTGAGGCCACACCCAGAATCCTGTGTTCATTTTGGGTCCCTCAGTGCAAGAAAGACATTGAGGTGTGGGAGTGAGGCCAGAGAAGGGCAGCAAGGCTGGTGAAGGGTCTGGAGCACAGGTTTGCTGAGAAACAGCTGAGAGAGCTGGGGGTGTTTATCCTGG